TGGTCGGATTGCGAAAATTCTTTCACTGATACGTAGCTACAATGTTCCTGAGTGCTATAAACTATAAAACATCACGCTACGATCAAATGGAACAGAGCAGCGCGTGAAATCGCGCGAGAGTAGCGAGGTTAATATATAAGTGTTGGAATATATGCTTTGGCATAAATGGCCCGAGTGACACCTATTTACTCAAAAAACTTTCGTGAAATAAAGTTCGCGTTGTGTTTCGCCATCTAAGTGAGGTTATTGAAGGCCAAATCCTCTCTTTGCTCCATATCCTATCCATAAATCTCCAATCTACAATTAGCGGAGCCCATTTTTACCGTCAGGTGACAATTATGTTAGTTTGCCCTGCCACACTAAAAAAAGAATGTGGGCTTATTGGAATAATCTATGAAGGCTGAAAAAATCTAACCTACCTATGAAGATTTTAGCCTAAATAATTAGAAGTCTCACTAGCATGTTGCAGAAATGTAGAAAACTAAAAAGAAGGTTTTATTACTCAACTAGTTACTCTCGCGCGATTTCACTCGCTGCTCGGCTCCATTTAATTGTAGCATGATGTTTTATAGCCTATAGCATTCAGGAATATTGTAGCTATCTATCAGTGAAAGAATTTTGGAAATCCGACTAGCGGTTCCAAAGATTACCCCCTACATACAAACTTACAAATTTTACCTCTTTATAATATTAGTATAGATAATATAGACAATTAGGTAATCTTTATCAACATTTTTAAAGTTACTGTTTATGAAATAACTTTATAAATCATTCAATAATGATTGTAAAAACAAATTGACAGCAAATATAAGAGTGCACATACAAAACTTCGCACAGTAAATTTATTTTGCCGCGTATTTTTGACATTTCAAGGCCGCCATATTGGCGTTTGACGCACGTAGCGTTGCGTTGACTCATGCGTTCTATATTTGAAACAAAGAAAGTCCGTTTGACACGGAGTATGGACGTTAGGAGGGACAGGCTCGTTGGTCGATTGTTAGCGAGTGCAACTGTCTAACAAAACACATTTTAGGTCCCAAGTCCCATGTTTAATAAAAAACGGAACTAACTCATAAAAAAGGGAATTTTAGAAAATAGAATTTATTAAATGCTAATCCCTTTGTTTTTGATTAAGGCTTCTTTTATATTAAGGTTATGAGGTGCGTTAATTATGCTCAGTATTTTTTCTTCACTTTGAAACGATCACCTATGTAGCTTTCCTGTCGAAAATACCGTGGGACTGTTAATGTATTTTAACGTTTTAAAAGTCCCTGTTTATGATTAAGAGGGAATAAATGAATTTGCCTTGATTTCTTGCTGTTTTTTTCTTTTCGTAAAGGGGTAAATCATTATATAATTTCTCCCGCTCTAAGTGGGACAAGACGGACGATATTATTAGACTTAACATGTTTTTTAATAATTCAAATTATAAAATGATTTAACGTAAGAAAATATGACGTCAAGACTTGCTAATTCTTTCAAAATTCAAAAAGCATAGTCGATTTTGAAATTTATTAAAAAATAATAATAGTTAAATCATTGGATAGTACCTACCTTAATACAACTACATCACAAATATTACTATTTTTATCGGACAATTTTAAATATCTACATATAATCACTTAGCACTCCACAACTTTATAATCTTTTATCACATATTTGTAAAGCACAGAGTAAAATATATTTTTTTAAACGTAATTATAGGTTAATGGTACTTAGGTTTTAGGTCGTAGAAAATAGTCATTAGGTCACCTTCCGAATACTAGAATTTTGTTTTTTTTTTTCTGTCTGTCATTGATCTTGGTAATTATAGAAACTTTGTTGATTCGTCTCTTTCGAAGTAATTATTAGATACTCGAAGAAGTACATATTCTTGTACTACTAGCGTTCCCCGCGGCTACGCCCGCGTGGTATATCCGTGGTATATGTTCTGTGGGTATGTTGATAAAAATAGCCTATATCCTATTCCGGAGTGTATCCTATGCCTGTGATAAATTTCATTCAGATCCGCCCAGACGTTTTGCTGAGCCGTTTTGGCGTGATTGAGTAACAAACATACAAACATTATAACGTTCGCATTTATAATATTAAGTACTAGCTTTCGCGTGGAATAGTGACTTCCTGAAGATTTTTGGTATAAAAACTATCTTATGTCCTTTTCGAGTTCCAAACTATGTCTATACTGTACCAAATTTCACAGAAATCGGTTCTGTAGTTTAGGCGTGAAGAAAAGACAGACAGACAGACAGAGCTACTATCGCATTTATAATATTTGTTTGGATATAAGCGATCTTGTTTGGCATAAACTTCATAGCGTGGGATTAAAATATTGTTTATTTTCATTTTAAGTCTTATGTTGAGCACTATTCTTTTATGCACATGTAGACGTTTAAATATTGCTCCATCTGTAAGCTTGTTTGTGTACTTTATCTTCGCACAAAACAGTCTGAATGGCGGACTTAATCCTTTAAGTTTTGGATATTAACTGAGAATCCTTTATACCCTAAAAAAGATCGAGAGACGATATCCGGCCACCGTAAGCGCGGGTCTGCGGACGGCGAGTAAGGGTAGCTCGCTAACCGATCAGAACCAGACTTGAGCGTACGGCGCGTAACGTTCCGCGCGCGCCTCTAAGAGCCAATAGACCGCTACAGACGGGGCCCTATAGGGCTGTTGTTCAGCCGGGGTTGCGGGGAAAGCGCAATGAGGCACCGCGACCTCAGCCCAGAGCAGGAGAAGGAACAGGGAGGTTTTTAGTCAGTAGGAGTCTGACACTCCTTCCCGCCTGGCCCTAGGCGGGAGAAGTTATTTGATGATTTTTCCCCTCACAAAAAAAAGAGTGGTTTATGGAAAATATCCATGGAACGCACATAGTCCAACTGCAGTGGACTAGCAGTAACAAACATAAATGATGTTAATCACTATATAGTATAAAACAAAGTCGCTTTCTCTGTTCCTATATCCCTGTACGCTTCAATCTTTAAAACTACGCAACGGATTTTGATGCGGTTTTTTAATAGATAGAATGATTGAAGAGAAAGGTTTATATGTATAATGACATCCATTGAATAGTGGAGAAATTTAGTATCAAAATTAGACCCGTGCGTAGCTGGGACAGATCGCTAGTCGATAAATAAGCGGTTTTGATTTGTTTTCATTCACGTTTCCGAAATTGTGCGCCATATTTTTTTTAAAAGCGTAATAGCATTCGGTTAGTGAACACGCAAACGTTATGTACGCAGTTAAATAACTAGGCATTATTAGTGAACTTGACTTTAAAATACCTATTTTCCTTCATTCATCTTCATCGTCAGCCTATACGTGCCCACTGCTAAGCAAAGGCCTCTTCTCACACGGAGAAGGTTGGAGCATTAACAACCACGCTTGCTCAATGCGGGTTGGCGATTTCAAACTTATAATTAGAAATTATAAGTCTAGGTTTCCTTACGATGTTTTCCTTCACCGTATGTCAGTGGTGTCTAAATAATCATAGAAAGTATATAGGTATAAACCTCGGAAAAAGTCGCATTGGTACTTGTCAGGTTTGCATAAGAAATGGGTACCTACGTTAACGGGCTACCATGACACACGTTTTAAATTCAATTTACACTAATATTATAAAGAAGAATTTGTTTTTCTCTTGAACGCACAATTTTTATTGTATTGCCCTTTTTTTTAAAAAGAAAGATCAATTGACTTCTCCCGCCCAGGGCCGGTCGGGAGTGATCAGACTCTTACTGAAGGTCGGGCGCGATGGGTCGCCGTCGCCGATCACTTCCCTGAGGACACGGCGGTGCTCAGCCCAGGCAGGGCATACCGCCACCGTATGCTCCACCGTATCCTCTAAGTGGTCCTCGCAATGACGACACTCGGGCGAAGTATTGCCCTTGAGATAATTTTCTATTTCCCTATCTTTGACTAATATTAGTGTTACACTGTTCACACACAATATAGGTAGAACCAACTTTATAATGTAACAAAGAAATGAATCGAACATTAACTTCAATCGGGAGGACGGCTTTAAATTGTTATCGACGTGGAATCGTGATTCGGAAAACACAACCTCGCTTTCATTCAAAGTCGGTTAACACATCTGTGGATACGGTCAGTGTAGTATGTAGACGGCCTAATATGGTAGAAAAAGAAAATAAGGGGGTAGATGAAGATTCATGCAGGGAGCTGTGACATCGCACCTTCATTCTGCATGCGACCAATGATATTATAAGTAAAAATGTATAGATAGGTTACAAGCGCTCAGCAAGTGATACATTAAAATGTGGCTAACTAGCCACACTTTTACTTTTACTTTTTCTACTTTCATCAGTGAAAAAATCTTTGGCAATCCGACGAGCGCGAGCGGTTCCAAAGATTACCCGCTACATACAAACTTACAAATTATACGTTTTTATAATATAAGTATAGAAAATACTTGATTAATCATTGATTTAACAATAATTTAATTACTTTATGAGATAAGGCGGCAAATATGGATAACGCAAGTGTGTTGGGCTTTTTGGGGAAATTAGGGATTTGGGGATGTAAGAAAGGGACTGGGTGGTCCTCCGGTAACCTCACTCACACGGCGAAACACAACGTAAACCAATCTTCAATTGAGAGAGGCTTCTCCCAGTTGTACAGCCTCTTTTGTGCTTTTAAGGCTTATGTCATTCTATCTCCTGCACTAAATTTACCGAGGCACAAAGTCACAATAAATTCCAGTAATTAGATTAATTTATTTTAGGTTTCTGTTTGTTGTTGGTTCTATTGAAACACACTTCCTCTCTACTTTTCTAAAATTTTCTTTTAAAAGAACTCCTAAAAATAACAAACACAACTAAAAATAATTGGTCTAGCTTTTAATGAGTTATGCGTTTACCAAACAATACATTTGGCGATTTATTTCTTTATTATAGAGATTGAATTAGGCCACATCATTAAAATGGAGCTTATGTTAGAGGTTCTAAGTGTATATTAATAAAAGAATATGTATAAAAACTTACGTTTCATCAGCATTGCTTCCATTATCAACATCGAAAGGCTCACAGACACTGATTTCTTCAATAATTTCTTCTATAATCTCCTCTTCAGTCTCGCTTCCACTCACTTCTCCCTCATTCTCACTTTCACTCTCACTACTTTCACATTTATCTGTTACTTCACTTCTATCACCTATCTCTATAAATCCACTATCACTATTATCACTCGAAATCCTTTTTAGCGTATCAGGACTTTCGATTTTAATAGTCACTTTTTCATTATCATTTTGATCATCATTTACATTAATAACTGTTGTGTTATCAGCGAAAATAATGTCGTCAGCATCTTCTAGAAATTCCTCGTCTTCAGAAGAGAGGGATTCGAAGGAGGAACATACTTCTTCGTCCGTTTGTTGTTCTCCATCGTCGAAGACTATGTGCTTTCTGAATGTGACTCTTTTCTTCCCACAGTCCGATCTGTCGTCGTCTGAACATCCTTCCGTATCAGATTTTGGAGGTTTCAAATTTGACTTCTTTGATATCCCAGGTGATTCAACTTCTGCGTTTCCATTTTCTTTGTTCTCATTATCAGCTTCCAACAATTTGTTCAATTCATCTTTTAATTCATTTCTATAATTTAAATTTCGTTCGTCGATACTCTCGTACAGAGGTTCACTCTTAACTATTTTGCTATCCGTCCCTCCCATCTGTTTGTTTTCATTTAATTTGTCTACGGTACAGTCTATAGTGCGCGCGATCTCCCGAAGCAATGCCTCCGCATGTTTTTTTTCATCCAAATCAGGATCGTTCACGTACACAAGAGACACGTGTTCTTTATTATCGTTGTTCTTAGAATATTTCTGCAGTACCAAAGCTTTGACGAAGTCCGCATCGTCTGGTGTATTTTTAACTTGTGTGGGAACGGGCACGTCACTCGGCTTCCGATCAGAATTACTCCTTTGCAATACATTCGTCTCTTTCAAGGGGCTGATCCTACACGATTCAGTGCGTACATTTCTTCGCTTCCCCTTCTTCCTTTTCCCGGCCATAATCTGGAGGATAGCGCCAACGCCAGACTTCTGGTTATTGTAGTCAGTTTCAGGTAACAATAGATTCACTACATCTTTCCGTATTGTGTTGAATTTTTCGTTTGGCTCTGTGTCGTTTCGTTGCGCGCGAGTCGTAACTGATGTTAATTTCGTATGGTCCGGGTTCGGGAGTTTTCGGTCGTCGTCGGGCGTAGCCGGCGCGGCCTCGGGTTTCCCGCCTTTCCTCTTGAAGAAATTAAACATGGCACCGGTGTGTTGTCATGTCCGCCTGCCCCGGCGTTGTCCTAGCGACTGGTGCCGATCGAACTGTAAATACGTTCACAAACAAATGTATTTCGCGGCTGATTTAGTGCAGCGAACGTGTTTTCATTTTTTTCCATTCACAGGACGGTATTTTATGAAAACATTAGCATTATTAAATTGTTGAATGTGCGTTCAATATTAAAATAACATTTACATTTTTATGTCAATCTATTTAAATTGAAAATAACGTGTACTTAGAAACTTCAGGTAGGTACATTGCCTTCAAAATTATTTTTCTTACCTAGTTAAATTCCTGTAAACACTCCGACTAATTTATAGGCTCCTGGTATGTCTAACTAAAATGTTTGTCTAAAAGACTAAAATAACTTTTTCTAGGCGAGTACGCTGGGTAAATTCTAGTTAAAATGTAATTTATATTAAACACTAAACCAGGAATTTTTCAAAGTACCATGACGCATTTTGAAAACGGCAACTCATGTAGTGAATTAAACCTCGCTACCATCAGTTGACTGGACAATCTCTACACTACACGAGTCGCTGTTTAAATGTCAACATTAGCTCATGACGATACCAGCGTACGTGTGTCACTGGACAGTGAACCTCGCTACCATCAGTTGACTGGACAATCTCTACACTACATGAGTCGCTGTTTACATGTCAACATTAGCTCATGACGATACCAGCGTACGTGTGTCACTGGACAGTGAACCTCGCTACCATCAGTTGACTGGACAATCTCTACACTACATGAGTCGCTGTTTACATGTCAACATTAGCTCATGACGATACCAGCGAACTTGTGTCACTGGACAGTGAACCTCGCTACCCTCAGTTGACTGGAAAATCTCTACACTATAATATTATTATGATAGTTTGTATGTCAACATTAGCCAATGACGACATCGCGTGAGACCTTGTTTTGTCGTAAATTATCTACTGTCTCACAAATAGATTTATTTTTATTTCACGGATGATTTTTACGTAAACGAATTGGCATTTCCTAAGTAACATTTCATGTAAGAACTACACTACAAACTTTTAATATACCTATTTGTAATGTAAACAAAACATTGTAAGTACGTTTAAGTGTATTTTTAAGATCAAACTCTTTAATAAAATATTCAATTTTTGTTTCTCATTTAAACTTTTTTTTGGCTGTCACCCAAGTAGGTAGGGGCTAGTGTCTTCAGTGGATTCTGTTACAACATATCATATTGATGTCTCAAAGAATTAAACTTCAATTGAAAGACAAGCTTTCGTTCACGGCTTCGCACGCGTCAAAACGAATGCATCCCGTGATTTAAAAACAGCAGCGTTTAAATTAAAGCGATAGCTCGAAATACGATACGATATACGATAAAATACGCAAATCCTATAATTGGGTAGTTTCCTAGGTCAAAAATAAATTAATACGACGTTTCAATACAATAAAATATTGAAAAATAACTATACCTTTATACATCGATACACTAAGTTTTAGATTTTTTTAGCTAATTATTAGGAAATAAATGTAACCTATCATAACTCATAACTCAATTATTCATACAATTTTCGTAGAAAAGTATCGTTTTTGACGTTTGGATAAAAGTATTGAATTTGACTAGTTGGAAACTACCGTATTTAAAGTCTATAGCACTCAGGAACATTGTAGCTATATATCTATCAGTGAAAGAATTTTGGAAATCCGACCAGCGGTTCTGAATATTACCCCCCACATCATGTAAGGTGTAAAATTACAAATTTTACCTCTTTTCCGTCATTCATCCCAACAGTCCTTGGGAATTCAGTGTTCCGGTATTTTTATGGTTTTGGGAGGCTGTAGCGGGCTTGTCCAAAAAACAATCCACAAATCTTTAACACCCAAAATGTCAGAAATAAAGCTTCAAGTTTAACTCATCGGGTGTTGTTAGTAACGACGGACGATAAGTTGCTTACCATCAGGTCAGGAAAGCTCAATTACCGCTCTCTCACAAAAAATAGCTCGTCAATATAAATAGCTTTGTGACTTCATGTCAATAGGCAAGGAAGAGCTAGGTAAACGTGGCAAGGTCGTCAACAAATGGCTACGGTGCGTTGGCAAAACAATTAGCTAATACATTTTAGTTGAACTAGTTTAAAATAGCGTTTTAAGTGTGGGAATGTACCTACGGCAAGAAGAGGCCGGCTCGACCTGAGTTTCTGAGTTTATGCGAATCGCTGCATAAGCTATAAAAGCACGTTGCTTCAACAAGTGCATAATTGCCGAGTAAGGGATAACCCCCATCATCAGATCAGTCAGCGGCGATTCACTTTTCAAAAACCGGCCAAGTGCGAGTCGGACTCGCGCACCGAGGGTTCCGTACAAACCTGCAGAAATGGGTAGTAACTTTAAAATTATTAAAAAAATATATATTATGTGATGTAACTAAAAATTTATGGTTTTCGTAATTTTTCCTTTATCTATGCTATAAGACGTTGCTTCGTACCAAATTTCAAGATTCTAAGGTCACGGGAAGCACCCTGTAGGTTTTGTTTCCTTTGCAAGTGTCGAAAATTTGCGGCATAAACGGCTGTATCTTTTGATTGCGTCGGCTTAGAAGTTTGTTTTTTTCACAGCTTCAAGGGACAGTAGACCTGAGTAATTGATATAAATTTCAGCTTCATACCTCCACGCGTTCCTGAGAAAAAGGGTCTTGACAGACGGACGTACGGACGGACAGACGGACAACAAAGTGATCCTATAAGGGTTTCGTTTTTTCCTTTTGAGGTACGGAACCCTAAAAACGAGTGTTTGACTCTTACTGACTAAAAATCACCATCACTCGGCTTGGAGCAGGAGAACCTACGGGGTGGTTTTTAGTCAGTTTCGAATCTGACAGTCCCTCTCACCTCATCATGGGTGAGAGAACATGTTTTTCTTCCTCACAAAAAAACCTGCAACCGCAGCTGACCTCTCTGTCGTAGAGCAGATCCAGTATTTAAGTGTGGGAGAGCCAAGCTTCGGCACGAATGGGTCGGCTCGACTCGAATACTGGCGTGAAACAACCCACAGCGTTGTGTTTCGCCGCGTGAGTGAGTTTACCGGAGGCCCAATCCCTCCCCTTCCCCTATCCCTTCCCGATCCTTATATCCGCAACCCCTATCCCTAAAAGGCCGGCGACGCACTCGTAACTCCTTTGGTGTTGCGGCGGCGCCGATTGCTTACCATCAGGTAATCTGTCTGCTCGTTTGCCGACTTATACCATAAAAAAAAACAAAAAAATCAAAGACTGATGATGAGGTATCGTATATTGATTCTGTAGTCTGATATATATCCATAAAATAGGAAGGTCAGTGTCTCATCTCAAAATAAATATAAATGAGAAACGAGCTGTTTTCGCGAGACTTTAGTGAAGGGACGCTTGTCGATACATTTGATATCGATATGTCGATGAATTTTGTTTTCACAAGTAGTATTCAAATGTTTCGTTTAGATATGTCAAAATTTACAGTTTTTTTACGCGTCGGCGTCGTGATTTTATTTTACTTTTTTTGGATTTTGGTGTTTTAATATATGGAGGGATTGAAGAGAAAGTTTGATGCGCATAATAACATCCATGAAATAGTGGAGAAATTTAGTATCAGTCGCTAAATTTATTTTGTTATATTATTATAATGCGTCATTTGTACAAGCGCGCAATTTAATTGCTTGATTTCATCATCAGTAATTTAAAAAGATGATGCAAATATTCAAAGGACATGGTATATTTTAGTTAAACAAGACATGATCGTCACTTTTTTGAACCATAGCCAAAGCGGGCTGAATAGGAAATTATAAGTTACTAGCTTTTGCCTACGATTTCGTTCGCGTGGAACAGTGACTTCCTGCAGATTTTTGATATAAAAACTATCCTATGTCTTTTCTGAAGTTCCAAACTATGTCTGTACCAAATACCACAGAAACTGGTTCAGTAGTTTAGGCGTGAAGAAAAGACAGACAGACAGACAGAGTAACTTTAGCATTTTTAATACTTAGTTTGGACTAGCGACCCGCCAAATTTCTCCACTATCTATTGGATGTTATTATACACATAATACATAAATTAATTATACATAATAATACATAAATTAATTATACATATACCTTAATTATTAGTTAAAACAAACAGAGATGAACAAAAGTCTGGAATAACACATACATAGGCAATTTTTTCCGCCTAACTCGCTGACAGAAAGCTTTTTGACCTTAAAAAAGTAGCAACAAATCGAGAAAATCTATAATCTATACTAATATTATAAAGAGGTAAAATTTGTAAGTTTGTATGTAGGGGGTAATCTTGGTCGGATTGCCAAAATTCAAATGGAGCCGAGCAGCTGGTAACCGCGCGAGAGTAACTAGTAATATTATAAAGATGTAAGATTAACCCTGTAATCTTCTTTGGAACTGCTGCCTGGTAGGATTTCCAAAACTCTTTCACTGATGGATAGCTACAATGTTTTTGAGTGCTTTAGGCTTTAAAACATCACGCTACAATCTATAGGAGCCCAATAGTGATTGAAACCGCGCGAGAGTAGCTAGTGTAATAATAATTTCCCAAATTCGTTTTACAGTCTAGAATCTGGATTCTAAGCGAAAGCAAACTTAATGATTAATTTCTTTGTTTAACGTTTTCTTAGTTAAATAAAAACAGAGCCAAGAGAAAGGTCATTGTTTTAATAAAATTAAATGGTCTCAAAATACACATGTTTGGGCCAACCTATTTCTATATCAAGTAAAATAATCATTAGGGATGTGGCATACGACTTGAACTATCGATACTTTTATTTTTGGTGGAATAATGTCGATATGGTATGAAATTTTAGGTGGGTAGTTAATATTGATAATTTTCTGTGTGATTGGCTCGTGTTTGTGTGAATTTCTTCGAAACTAGAAGATGATCGAAAGCCTATATTGTAATTTTCTCAAGAATTAATTTTTTTCATAAGGATTATCAATAAAAATATTCGTTTAATTCCGTGTATCAATATTCTTACCTGCCAAATGGTAATACCATAAACGCAAAATCTCGTATGTATGGATAAA